TTGCCAGGGAAACCCACACAGCCAAAGAGTACCATCATATGTTCGAGCACCACACTGACACATGTGTCCTTATTACTAACGCACAAAGCATGAAGCATGGAGAGCGCCTTTCCTCATCTGGAAATTGGGGTTGAAAGGGAGTGAGGGCATAAACTGAAGATTTATAAATATCTCTTAACAAAGCCCCAGCTGAGCTGTGTCAGGCTAGCACACTCTCTTCATCTTTCCCTTACAGCTTTTCAATTTGCTTTCCAAACATTTCTTTGTTGCTGTTGGCTGGGGTGCACTTAAAAGAAGCACATCGTTAACCACAAAGAATGTTCACTGTTTTCTGTGATTTCAAATCAGTTCCAAGCACTTCCTCAGTGAGCAGCCCAGCAGCAATTACCCTGCTGCTGAAGACTTACTTCTCATGACAGAAAGGCTTCGGGTTTAGAGCCGCCAACAAGCGAGGCTGTAACAAATGATGACATATGTTTCAGCCTCCATTCACTGGAGATTTATGCCCCCCAAAGGAAGCGCGAATCAATTTTTGTGCAAATTCAACAGGCACATCCGACAATGCTGCTCTCTTCTCTAACTCACACAAACTAGGCATTCATCAACCCGGATTACTTGCCTCAAATGGGGACTCACAGTTGCTAAGTGGCTTGGTGGGGGTGGGATTCCTCTGTGTGGAAAAGGGGCAAAGTACGAGGAAAGGACAAGAATCCATCAGGGAAGTGAGAGCTGAGTTCATTCATTGAGACAAAATAGTGGAGATTAAAAAAAATTAAACACTGCAAAGACAACTTCCCACCCCCGGCCCTGGCAACTCTGTGAAAGAGGGTGGAAATTAGCCTCTGGGTAACTTTTCCTCAGGTGCGAAACCATCCAGAACAATTCAGCTCATAGATAACATTGAGGTAGGTCTCACTTTGAAATCACATTTCTCTCCCATTTTGTTCATACCTGGTACAGAACATTTGCAGACTTATCTCCTGAGGGAGTTGGACCTACTTTGTAGGTCCGGCAAATTTCCCTAATGTCTAGTCTCTGGATATAGTTTGTAAGGTTGATAACTGGTCTCTGGATATAGTTTTAAGGTTGACTACATTTGTTTTTGAGACAATGAATTCAAAATCTGATTTTTCACTGCACAAGCCTACAAACAAATGTCACACTGCCCTCTGGAGGTAGTTTCATTGGGTCTAACCCTGAATTAGTGATTGGCAACCACTGAACGGATGGGGTGTGGAGGCTTAGAACTCTTTTTCTAGAGGGCTGTGACAGGGAAGGTGTGGTAATGGGAATATAAATAAGAAGACAGTGGAGAAATTACAAATTGTTCACTAACTTCTGTTGAGTGGTGTGTGTGTGTGAGAGAGAGAGAAAGAGAGAGAGAAAAGAGAAAGAGATGGGAGAGGAAGGGGAAAGAGACACACAAACAAAAAGAAGGTGAAAAGTAATCCTTGTCTCCCAGTCTCAGCATCAGCAAGTGAGAGAGTAGATACATGTAGTAAACAAGAACTCAAAAGCAGTGATAGGAGAAGGGACTGTGGTAAGTCAGTGTGGATGGGTGTGATGGAATATATTTCCTAAGAGGGCAATACCAGTATATTCTAGGAGATACACTACATTGTCAAAGACTAAGTTACAAATGGCTATCATGCTTCCAACTGGACTTCTCAGGATGTTCACTCTGGAGAATCAGTCATTTTGCTTTTAGGTTAGGAGCCACCCAGCTGCCTAGCAAGGCCAGTTCTCACCACACTACCAGCCTCGTCCAGCCAACAGCCAATATCAACCACCAGTCAGACAAGTGAATGAGCCTTCCAATGATTCCATCCACTCACCACGGAGTTGACACGAAATCAGAGGAAAAGCTGTCCCTGCTAAACTCTGTTCAAACTGCAGATTTGTGAACAAAATAAGTGCTGTCACTGTATTAAGCCATTGTGTTTTGGGGTGGTTTGTGATATAACAAGACAAAACCAAAACAATGCATGAGGTCCCCTCTGACACTGGACCCACTTCTTGGCACTGAATAAACTTTGCCTGAAAAGAAATGGAACCTGCCTCTCTAACATTCATAGATTATTACACTTTGGGTTAATTCTTAACCTTACCTACTCCTCTATGTCCCTGATAACATTGTCCAAGGGATAGCTCTCAACTGAAATTGCATGTGGTTATGTACATATGTTATATATACTACATGGTGCTTTGTGCAAATTTGAATTATGACCACTATTCAGTAATGAGTGTATTGTATACACAAAACATACACACACACACACACACACACACATCTCTAAATTTCTATCTTTCCTCAAAAAATAAATCTACTAAAAGATCAACAATATTTGATTTGCAATCTTCACTTGATTTGCTCATAAAAGTTTTGTATTCTTCAGTCCCCTCTACTCAGTTACATCATGTCCTGCCCTTTCACTTATTCCATCACTATTTTTTGTTTGCCTAGTCTCTACAGATATTTAGGTTTATGACACCTATTTAGGTCACAGTTCCGTGCTTGAATGGCTGGGGTTCAATATTACATTGTTACCCAGGAGTTAACATCCTACTGAAAAGAAGAGTTCAATTAAAAAAAGGAAAATCATACTAAAAGAAGAAATATCTAAAAGTCAAAGTTTTTTAAATTAAATAACAAAGGATGAAATAAAGGGGAAAGGTAGCTGGGATATCAACTTAGAGTGTTATCATATAATTTGATGTCATCTCCCACTGTCAAGTTCATTGGTAATCTAGAAACCAATGCTTTTCATTTCATTGTTTCATATAAAGTTTGTTCTCACTGTGAGTATGTTATTGGAAATCCAAAGTCCAGTAGCAGAATCACATACACTGTGATAATCACTTACACTGTGATCACATACAATTAACTTTTGGGATAGTTGCTGAGAATATCCTTGTCATACCTCTGTATGAAGAATCTCAAGTAGTTTCTAGAGAAAGATTCAACTCCTAGCATGGGGAATGGAGCCACACAGCACAGATGATCCTGCTGCAACTCATTACTTTTTATCAGTGGTCTCTGGTGGTTTTCATTTATTGAAGAGATTTTTAATAAATGATCTTTCCTACTAGTCAATCTGCATAGTTCATGGTATTTTATATGTCTTGAAATGTTGAGGAGACACAATACTAAAAGATGTCAGCCAATTAAAAAAATATTATCCTTTATAAATGAAAATCTGGATTTTTTCTTTAGAAATAAAAAATGCAGGAAAAAATCCTATTTTTTGCTAATTAAATATACTGAAAATACCTCTACTGCCAGGTTTATCTCACAATGGTATATATTCACTAATAAAGAAAAAATTCTATGGATTAAAATCAATGTAAAGAGCACTTATGCAATCTTTATGAAGAACTCCCAGCAACGGGAAAATGCTGAAGTTTAACAAAGTCTCTTTGTGGTGGGTCCAGTGTGGCATGTTGAAACAGGAGTCTACTCTTGGTTTTTCACTTGATATCAAATTAGTTCAGCTTTCTAGAAATTCTACTCATTTAAAAAAAAAAAAAGCAATAGTGAGTGAGTTATTTTGTAAAGTATTCCTTGTTTTATGATGTTACCATAGTAAGATTTTCCAGGCCCCCTTCAACAACAAGAAAAAGTACATATTACCTTCCCAAACCTAAGGCAAACAAAATGGCTCAAATATTTAAATAAGGTATTTTCTAACTCATATCGCAGGAGAGTGAAGTTATTCAGCAGGGGAGGCCAGTGTTTGGGGTCAATTTTTTGGTTTAAAAATTTGATGTCTGAGATGCTGCAGCAGGAAAAAAATTATACATTGATGGCTCACAGTGTAATCCTCATAAAATTTTATTTTATTGGAATGGTAGAGTCCTTATTTTGGGAGGAAAGGATTTATTTATGAAAAATAGACAACAGGGTTTTGAAGTTTTTATTGTTGTCATTTTATTTCTAGCCAAAGTTAAGAACTCAGTGCCAGAAATCAGATTCAAATTTGATAGCATCTCAGTCACAGAGATGTGGAAATTGAACTTAGAAGTCAGGAATAAGATTACTGAGAAATGCACTCTGAAATCCACCAGTACATTGGTTTTAATATCATCAGAGACTTAATACAATGCCAGAACAACTAGGAGTTTTCATCTGGATGAACTTTCATTTGGGTAAACTTTGCTAAAGCCACCAAGAGTGTATGTTCATCATTAAGTTATATCATGTGAAAGTGTCCAATATAAAGGTCAAATGAAAGAGATGTCCAGAAAATCTGAACTAATTATTCTGGTCATCTTGTAATTTTTTTTCTTATGCATAAAGGCATGTGTGAACAGGCAACGTCTCTAACTCAGGCTCCTTCAAAGCCAAGCGACAGCTGTCAAAATAGTTTGTTAGCTATTAAAATAAGTGACAAGTTTTGCCACATTTAATAGGGGATTTGCCTAGGAACTCCAGGTTTTACAGATTTCTAAATGTGGCCTCCTAATGGGCTTCCTAGGGAATTTTCATTCATCTCTCAGAGTAGGTAGCTGACACCGGCCCCATGCCTGGGGCCTCAAAATACCCAGGACTGTGGGAGTTCTGAGATGTTCGAACCTAGACAGCAAGACAGAAAAGTGCTAAATCTGGAACGACTCTAGCAGCGGTCCTCCTAGGTCGCCAGTGCGAGGAGGGCTCACTCCCGTCCCACCAAGAGATGAAGCGGATGAGTGTCAGTGTGTACCTGGGGTCTACGAAGTGGGGTGCTGGAAACCGCAAAGTCCAGAAACAGAAAACTGCCTGGGGTCACCAACGCTCATCTTCCGGAGGGCACAAGTCCCAGTTGCGCGATGAGGCGAGGAACTCAGGGAAAGGCACCTTAGGCTCAGGGGGTTGCAGAGATTATCGCAAAGGGGAGCGTGTGAAGGAAGAGCTGGTGCCGCAGGACCACGCGGGTGGATGGCTCCCAGCAGTGGCAGGAAAGCGCCCCGGGACCAGGAACGGACGGGGCTCCGCAGGCTGACTCAGTGAGGGAAGCGCTTACCTGCAGGTAGGGCCGCCCGTGGGCCACCCCACCCACGACGATGTCCGCGGAGGCCATGGCCCCGGTGGGCGAGAAGCCGAAGCCCACGTAGCCGGCCGTGCGCACCTCCAGGCGGAAAGCGAGCCCGCCACCGCGCGGACCCCAACTCAGCCAGAACTTGCCCTCGGCGTCCAGGAGGGTGCGGTGCGGGTAGGTCGGGCCCGCGCCCCCCACCGTCGTGCCGGGGAGCAGTCCCCACAGCAAGAGCAGCGTCCAGCAGCGCATCCTCGAGCGCCTCCAGCCCGCCCGCACCTGGGCTCCCGCCGACTGGCGGAGTGAGGAGGAGGCACCGAGGTCCCCGGCGGGAGGGCTTGGGACCGCCCCCTCGGTCAGCCGCGAGCCCCGCCCGCCCGCCGGGAGGGGCGGCACCAGAGCTCCCTCCCCGCCCCCGGCCACCCGCCCAGCCCGTCGGGCCCGGGTCCTGCCGGCTCTCGCCCAGTCCCGCCCTGCCCGCCCATCCACCTGCCGCCGCGCGCCGGCAGTGGGTCTCTGAGACCTGGGTTCGGTGGGGAGGGAAATGAAGGGGCGTCCGGTTGCAATGAGTGGAGGAGGTAGAAGCCCAGGAGGAGGCAAAAGCCGAAAAAAGAGGGCCAGGGCTGGGGTAAAAGGAGAAGGAAGAGTCTAGTGTCTGAGGAGGGTGGGAGAAGTAGTGTCTGAGAGGTCTTATCCTTGTTCCTTGGAGAATGAGAAATTGATGAGAGGGGGAAGGGAAGAGTACCCCAACGAGGAAAGGAGGAGTTGAGTCCGCAGAAGGGACAGTCCTGGGAAAGACTGAAGTGAGAAGAATGTCCATCCAGAGCAAATGTGGAACATGTTTCTGTTGGCCCTTGTTGATTCCCTGGAAGCTAGGTGCCCCGGGAGGGATATAACTCACCTCCTACTTTTCACTTTTCTCACTCTTTTCATCTTGTGGGGGACCCCCAAATCTGGGAAAGTCTAGTTGCTGGCAGAGGATTCAGCACCCCAATGCTTGCCCTCTGCCTGGTTTTATTTGGTTTGGTTTTGAGAAGACCAAACTACACGGCCATCAACAGGATTGACGCATCATTGGAGGGTTACCTTTAATTTGAAATCCTCTTTTCCAGCTTTTTCAAGTTCTGATCATAGTCATGTTTATCAAGAAGTGTTTGCCTTTACCTTTACTCAAATCTTTGTTTTTGTTTTTCATGTAAAGTATTTTTAATGTTATTGACTTATAAATCTATATGAATTTCAAGGGTATATATTCACCTCTAAATATGTGTAAGTCCCACCCAATACCAAATCCATTTTGTCACAGTTCAGTCAGGTGTCTAGAAACCGTGGGTAGTGCCTAGAAATCTTGCGCCCAGACCACCCAGTGGGAAGCCGGCACCTACCCGTCTGTCTCCATGGGAGCTTTCCTCCAGTAGCCTCTTTACTACGTCTAGAACTGCTTCTAAGTTTCTTGTTGGAACTCCCAGTATCTGGAATATGGACCAGCATGCAATAGGTGCTTAATAAATTGTAGGAAAAGTAAACAGATGCATTTCAATATCCTTCCTGCTGGAAGAATCTTCTTAACAAAGTTGAACTGCAAGTGGAAAGCTTGGCCCAGATAATTACATGTTCTAGGTATTGGAGTTACACGGGGATTGAGGCAAAAATAGAAAAGATCGTGTGTGTATGTGTGTAGATACATGTATATGTGTATATATACACATACATATATGCATACACACACCAAAAAAGAAAGTCTTAAATGGCTTTTATTATTACATTAAGTAAGATCATTGAGTATTTATTTGCTTTTAATTTGTCTGTGTCCAGCATTCCATTGAAAAGCAGATTGCTCAAGAAATATTAAAAATAATGAAATAGAGATGAAAATAAAAAAATTTAAAAATTTAAAAATAAAAAAAGTAATGAAATAATATTGAGGTTTGATTAATAAACAAATCACTATTCATATAATTCATACTCAAGGGTCCCATTTTGCTTTGACTTGAATTACCCCAGTTAATGAAGACAAAAAAGCAAGTTTTATTTAAGTGTGCTTCATAAGCTGCCTAAGATCCCTAGATCAAAACCAACTCCCCATTCTTTTGCAATGAGGACACATTTTCCCAATTTAGGGATTAATTGCTGTCTAACTATTTTAAATCTGTAAGGCAAACAGGCAGAAGTCACAGCCCATTAAAAACTTGGGATATGAGGAAGAGAGGTGTGAAATCAGTGGTAAGGAGTTTTGAATTTATTCTTTAGAGAACTATTATTTTGTAAAATGATACTTACTCTTTTTTAAAGGTAAATGCAGAAAAATATGACTAGAACCATGAACTAAAGAAAAATCACCTAAGAGCTCTACATTTAAAAATAACTTTTGTATTCATTCCCATAACATCATTCCAGAACCTTGGCAAACAGCTTTTGGGGGTGTAATTAGGAACAAAACAGGTGAATTAATTTTATAAAATTCCACTGGAACCAGAATGACTCTGGATATGTCAGTTACAATCACATTTTTTAGGTTTCTTCCTTCCACGTGTCCTCAAAATAAACAGAACAGACAAAACTAGAGTTTTGGTGAGATTTTTCTTTAGTTCAGAACACTCGAGCAAATTATTTATTCTGAAGATGAATCATTTACTCACAATTTTCAATCTTTTAAACGTAATGTTTATTTTGCATCTTGACCCACTCAGAAACGCAGCTTGCGATGAGCTAGTGTGACTGCATTCATGCTGAGTTTCCTCACCTTCCAATCCTCTCTACTGAGAAGTTTTATTTATATTTCCACATTTGTCAACTGCAAGGAGGGAAGGAGGAAAGAAAAAGAAGGCCCAAGGGACACTAAAAACCAATGCAAAGTTACTCATATGATCTAGTACTGTCTGAAATAGACTCTTATTTAAGTGTGGCAATTTCATGATTTTTCTGGCTACTCATACGTAATGTACAACAATAACACTACATATTTATAAAGACTACATGTCTTTCAGGGAGCACAGGAAAAATATTTGTAGAAGTTATCCTAGCAGTTCTCCAACATTCAAATGGGGGAAAAAGTGAAATGTTTTTTCACCTTTGTCTATTAAGCCTCTGGTGTGTCTAGCTAGTAATTAGCTAGTTCGACTTAATGAGTCAGTGGCAGAAAAGCCAAAAATAGAACTTGGGTTTCTTATTTTTAACTACATAATTTCTCTACCACTCACCTCATCTCAACGACAACAAAAAAAATTAATAATTTTAAAGCCACTTGTTCGTCACTATGAAACATTCTTTCAGCAGGGCTGACATATTTCATAGATGCATTTAATAATGGATGTGGGTGAAGGTAAGGACATACCCATATCGCACTTAGTTTTATTATTAGGAAGATAAAACTGGCTTAACTGAGTTCGTGGGTTGACTTTGAAAATGAGTACCAGAAGTCATTGAAAATCAGTCTGAGGTACTTCCATATGAAAATAATGGCAAGTAGACCCATTTCTCTGTGCAAAACCTATATTGTGGCATTAACTGTGAGGTATGCTCTGAAATAAAACTATTTCGACTTGAAAAAAGTCACAAAAGAAAAAAAGACTTTGTTTTAATCATTAATGATCCTCAGTTCAAATTTCTTTTGAAAGGGAATTATAATTTATATCAATAGTATGGTAGGGGAGAAATTAATTAAAGTGCTCAGTCTATATTTTTGTAAAGCAATGTATACAAGGTTGCTTGGATATTGATGAGAGGAAAAGGTTCTGAAATTACGTTCTTTATCAAAGTTCTGTTTAACTTACAAAAATAACCATATCCTCACGCTTCAGCAAATTTCTCTTCTATAGGGAGACTGAAGTCAGTGAAGATGAAAGGGAATTGAGTAGCAAAACACGCCGATTTAATCCTAGGCATGTTAGCCTTGTAAGCAAACCTGAGGTCCCTCTAGTCCACGCTCTCATCTTGAAGCTAAGGAAAGAAAATCCCAGAGAGAAGAGAATTAATTAAATGTTACAATTTTTAAATAGAATTGGTTATCTAGCAAAATTAAAAGCAACGTCTGGCTCTTTCTACATCCTCCATTTAACTGTTACTCTTTAAATGACTCATGAGCAACACTGGTGTTGGTTTTGCCATGTTTGAACTTCCCAAAACACGTTTCGAGGGTGAGTAGAGAGGAAGAAGGCATTGTGAATACAGCGATATTCCCTATGAGACATTTCCTTTCTGGCTATGCCATCGATTTGACATTTCAATATGTTTGATTCTATGTGCGGTTATTCGTCTATCGCCATCCGTTTAAAATGATGAGCAATGAGTAATGAGCAACCAGCATCAATTCAAAGCTAAATGCCAATTTAGCTCCACACTGAGACTGAGGGCATGATTCAGTATTACTTGATTTGGAATTGCCACATGTGTTTTTGGAAAAAGTTAAATAAATCTGTACAATAATAAAAAACATAAGGGCTAGAAATACAAATATAAAAATGTAATTATCCAAAAACTTAATTGAAGTCATTACAGTCACTTCTAGGCTTAATAAACAGTGAAAAGTTTCTCTTAAATGCAAAAATGTTAACAATCATTTTACATATGAAAACAGGCAGATATAGGGGAATGAGTGTTAAAGGCTTTGAAGCTCTCTAATCGATACTTAGTTTCATTCCTTTGGAAATCTCCATATTAAAAAAAAACAAATTAGAAGTTAAATAAATTAAAGATTAACTTAAAAATTAAAGATGGATTTAGCCTTACATAAATGTAATTTGGTCTTCAAAAGACATTTCTCCTTTACTTGATTTACTTAATTAAACAAAAGATTGTAAATTTTAAAAGAACTGATCAGCTTTACTATCACTGCTATATAAATGACCAGATATTTTCTGTCACCTTGTAACAGGATGGTCCCTAGGAAAAGGGAAAGTTCCAGGTTCTCTGCCCCATCCAGAAGAAGGGTGGAGCTGAGCAGAGAAAAAGAAAAGAAGAGAAGGAAGTAGGATGGAGAACAAGAAGGAGACCTGAGGAAGCCACATGGAGCAGTGAGCATGTGAAGAAGAAACTGTGCTTGTTTCCTGATCCTGGACTGGTGAGATACCTGTAGGGAGGTGACTATGGCAGTGTTTATATTGATTTTGATTTTGCTCTTTTCCTCCCAGATTTGTCTGGCCATTTCTGACCCTTTTCCATGAGTCCAGGCCAGAAGGTGCTTTAGTCTTGTGGCAGCTTTCAGGCCTTGCTTTGGGCCAATCCCTTTTGGCTTGACTTTTGCCCAGGAGGGGATGGGTAACTTCAGGTGTTTGATTTAGAAGTTACATTCTTTGTGTTCTGTATTGTATATTCACTGTATTAAAGTCCCTTTTCATTAAAGTTTTATATG